ACTTGAGATGTGGATGTTGCCGACAGGGACGGGCAGGCAGGGCCTGACGAGCACGAGGGAGAGATGGGAGTTGGAATGATCTACTTACTGCCTCGTGTTTCTCAAGCTTTGTTTATGCCCTTGCTAAAAATAAATGTATTTCTTTAAATCCCATTTGCAAACAAGCATAAGTCATTATTAGCAACACCTAGTACATACTTTTATACTGCACAACTGAAGCAAACAGCTTTCAGGGCCAGCTGAGGTTGGGGTCACCAGACAAAACCACTTAATGGTTCCCTGTCCCCTATACCCCCCGGCTGCTCCCCATCTTCTAGCCTTCACGGGGCTGCAGCAACAGACCAGTAACAGAGCATCAAGGGAGGGAGCTCCTTCATGATAAAAATCACAGCCCAAATTTCACTCTGGACAATAAATTCAAGCATCAGTATCTTCCTACACAGCCCAGCAAATACACTGGGTACCTCAACAGAGCATTCAGGCATGAAGGCTGGGGGCAGTTTCAGTATATTAAGCATCTGGAATTTTTGTTCCGTTCTTTTTTTTTTTTCTTTCAGAGCTCTAATCAGCATTTCACATGATAATTCTAAGTTGTTCTAAGTTGTAAATGGTTTACAAACAGATTTGTACCCAGTCTCTTACTAACGTCACCAATCCAGAGCTACTGTGGAGGAGCAACAGATAGCCACTTCGTAATCGCGACTGCGTTATCCAGCAACACAATGCAACTGTTGTATGTCCTCCAGTAGGGATTTCAGGGAGCAAGCTAGTGTAGTATACTGACCTCCCATTACCACCATCAGGAAATACAGCACCGTAACATTCAAGCAACAAATACTAGCACAAATGAGGGGAGGATGCTCCTTGAGTCACGCTACTGTGTATAATACACTGCACAGGTATTTCATAGGTTTGATATTTCAGTTTAACATTACAGAAGCAGTACTAACGAGCCTATGATAATATAAAAGAAAGATTGAGAACATTCTTCCTCCCTCTTTCAGGTAGCAATTATGCATACACAGAAAGGACGGCTTTCCTGACTCTGAGATGTAGAGTCTGCAACACATATGAGCAGCGTATGATACTAGATTACTTCTAGTAAGTACATATGCATAAACGTATCATTTATATAAACAAAAGCATCAAAACTTCAATAAGGTTTTTTTATTATCTTAGGAAATCAAACAGTATTTTTAAATCAAAACATTATTTCTTCATTATTTTTCTTTAGCGAATGTGTTTTTACATTCTTTATTCAATTCTCCAGCCGTATTTCAGATTGCTGAAGCAATATTTAAAGTATTATCAAGATCATTCGCACTTAGAATAAGAAAGCATACAAGCTTATCTCCAAATTCCTTGGTAAGACCTTTTCAGTCATTTAAACAACCTCCAAGTCAATAGTACCTTGCCACAAACCTTAATTTTGAGAAGTTCCTTAAATAACATCATTCAAAATCAAGAACATTTGCACTTAAAACACACAAGCATCTGACAGCAAGTCCACCAAGGTTCACTAAACATTTTTGCAGCACTCTAACCAATAGTCTTTATGGATAACCCAAGAGTAGAAACAGCATGGCTTGCATGTTCTTCAGCAGAAGGAAAAAAAAAAGAAAGATCTCTGATGCATTTTTACAGATCAGAATATAGTACTCGTTACGCAGGACATCCAGATACTCCTATTTCACTTTGCATGTTAAAGCTTCCTTGCGTACAATTCTGCAAAAATACATTGCAAACCATGCCCAGATCCATTCAGGTAGGTGCTCACCCAACGTGAACTGTGGAGAGGCACAGAGAGAAAAGAGAAGAGAAAATGAAAAAAGGAAGGGACAGATTAAGATATATTCCATTAAAGTAAACAAACAGTTTCTCGAATTACCACTAAAGCAAGGCAAAATCTGCTTAAACATCAGCAACTAAGCCTTAAATTCAATCCTCTGGAAGTAAATACATTTAGCCATTTTGGAAGTAGTGCCCACAGCTGAACAGTTAGGTTCTGCAAATAAATCCTGAAGTGGTTTGTTCAAGTTCGCAACAGCAATACTCTCCACTTCCTTTAATTGCCACATCTGGCCAGAATCCTTCCCGTCTCTTTTATTCCCTTTGGACTAATCCCCACTTCTTCAATTCCTTCTACTTGACCTAATGCTATAGAAGTCCACTAGGTAGGACACATGAGATGTGACCAATGTTCATAAAATTACTTTGGAGCCCACAGTCTGCCCCCAAAAACATAAACCTAACATAGAGAGGACCTGCTTCCAGGTAGCCTAGGACAAAAATGTGGGCTTTTTTTTTTCTGCTGTTATTCCATCCTCCCTGTCCACTCTTCCCACGCTCAATAAATTAAGATTGAAAAAAGCTACTTCTGTTCATAGAAGACAGTGAAATGCTTGCCCAGTCAGCAACACCCCAAGTGAAATGAGATACTCTCTGCTTTTGAATAAAAAGTTCTCTTTCCCATTTTTGCTGCGCATTTCAAGTGGGAATTGGATTCACACTCTCATTCTAAAAATAAGCATGCCCAAGCATAATTTTCTAAAGCAGAATTCATGAGAAAATATGGCACAATGCCTTTAAGTCCTACAATATATATTGCACTTTTTCAGAATATGAGCGTAGTTTTCATTCAGACTCCTAAGAAAGTAAACAGCTTATTTACTTCTATTCACAAACATGAAATAGTTTAATGAATCCTATTACCTTTATTGCATGCTTCCAGTAACCAGTAGTCCTTGTGGATAACCCAAGAGTAGAAACAGCATGACTTGCATATTCTTCAGCAGAAGGAAAAAAGAAAGATCTCTTTGAGGCAGTGCTGCTGCATGCTACCATTTTTGTAGCAATTACGAATGGGGTTAAACTCTGAACAAAAATTCCTTTCGAGGCATACTCATAATGTAGTGCTCTACTGAAATAGTCCAAGTAGGTCTAGAAAGACAAAAACAGAGAGGGACATCTTTTTTCCTTTCTTTGATTAAGTCTTAGGGCAGAGTTTTATTAAAACTACAGAAAGGTTGTAGCGTATTTTATATATCAGCTAAAAAAAAAAAACTTTGAATAAATAGTATAAAAATACACATTTCTAAAGTATTACCAACATTTCTATTTGTTGTTATGTTTGCTAAAAACCTGCAACAGTACAGTAACTTGCAGGACAAAGTGACTGCTTAACTCTCTGATGTGAATTTAACAAATAATCTGGCAATTTCTGCTTAAAAACAATACAGAAACATTTATTTCATCTAAAACAAACACCTTGTTCAGTTTGGGGGCATTGCACGGGACCCTCCAAAGCTAACTATACATACTACTGTCAAAGGGACAAAATGAAGTCCCATTTTTTAATATATTTACAGGTGAATTTCATACTTCACTGATCTTCCCCAGAAGCTAAGTTAATTACTTCCTGCAACTCCCTTGTGCAAAATTAAACATGCATATATTTATGTGTATCTGTATTATCTCCTTTAGTTCATTTTACTTTTACAGAATCACATAAAAAAGCACAAGCCTGGTAACTCGGATTGCTGGAATCAGATGGGAAAATGATCATGGGTCAGTCTTACCAAGGCGGCAACACTGATGCCATGCTGAAGCTACTGCTGTGCCGCACAGCCAGTTACGCCTGAGAAAGGGTATTTTAGACCCTGCTTGTGAGCGAATGGGTTTCTACTCCCAAATGGCCTTGCAAAAGCTCCATTCCCAGCAAACTGTTGGGAGAGCTTCTTCTACAAATGCTCTTACACCTGCTTTAGGAAAACTAAACTTCAAACACCATACACTGTTAATGCACGAAGAGGCTTAGGATGCTAGAGCAGCTTGTTCCCACTTCTGTGCCAATGTAACTGTACAGAGGCCAGGCTTTAAACTGGATTGCTGATCTAGGACTTGAATTAATGATGGCAGCTAAAGGAAGAAACTTTGGTACACTTGGTTTTGTTCTATTCTTTTTCATTCAGGCCTTTTAATTGTTTTAGTTCAGAGTGCAGTTCTACATACGCTTAGCATAACCAAGGGGAGAGATACTCTGGAACAGAAACAGGAATCTTAAGCCATTTTCCACACTGAAGAAAATCAGCAAGGAGTTTTATACCTTGGGGTAATAAGAACTGGTTTTGCTCCAGGCAGAAGGAAGTACTCGCAAGAGCTATCCCAGGAGCAAGGCTGCACAGGGGTTAGGCTACAGCAGAAGGCAGCCACCGACAGCTGGGAGCAATAACCCCTTGCGTTTAGACACCGGATCTAGGCGAGCTCCTTCTACAATCTCAGTTGCTCTTGTGGATTCAGCACCAAGTCATCCAGTGTAAATCCGCATCCCCACATGCATTCATACTTCCAGCATCACCCAGCTGCCCTATCCTATTATTGACTGGATCTCTTCAGGAAGAATAATTATCGGGGGAAAGTTCTTTTCACTTCTCCCCAAATATGGTACAGACAATGGTGTAAGAAGCCTTCTACCCCTTGGTGTTAGGTGAAGCAATGGTTTGATTTGGCCACAGCCCTTGTCACAGTGGTGGCCTGAGCATGAGTATAGCCCCTCTTGCTACCAAATACTAGTGTGTAAGTAGCTTGAGGTATGTCTGCACAGTTCAGCTGAAGAAGAGAGCGATGAAATTCTTGACTCTTTCAATGGGTCATAGAACTGCAACTTTGCTTTGTGCATCATTCCTCTGAGGAAGGTAACATTTTTCCCAGAGCTACTGTTACGCCACAGTTCACACATAATCCAAATAGCACTGACTTTGGTTCAAAGCCCAGTATTGGTAAGGATAAAGAGTTTACTGCGTATTACATGTAACATTCACCTCTGATATTTGAACAAATCCCTAGAAAACTTTCAAGTATATTTTGATATCCTTGCTGAATGTGTTTACAACCAACCAACCTATAATGCATCTACTTTTCAGTGCATACCATTAAACATCACACCCCAACTTACTTTAGAGGCTCCGTAGATTGTCAACATTGGTGTCGGCTGACAACAGGATGCAGAAGAAACATTCACAATTGCCCCTTTCTTCTTCTCTACCATGCCTGGCAGCACAATATGCATCATCATGTTAGCAGAAGCAATATTTATATTGATCATGTCCCACAGCGTATCTTCAGACAGGTTGGTAAAATAGTCTGGGTAGGGATAAAACATTCCTACATTATTCACCAAAATGCCAATTTCTCTGTCTTTCAGAGCCTCCTTAATGGCTGGGTAAGGCTCACGCCCCTTGCTGAAGTCAGCTACTATGAAATCTGTTTCCACTTTATAGGTTTCAGATATGCTTCTAGATACAGCCTCCAGCTTCTCTTTGTTTCGGCTGATTAAGATGATGTTGACACCACGCTTTGCTAGTTCTTCAGCATACGCCTTCCCAATACCATCTGTGCTACCTGTAATAGAAAATAAAAAAGGTGAAAATCAGAACAGCCCCAACCTTCTCTTTTGCTAGTTCTTTCAATTATAGCTTTATTCCCTTCTCTGAAGATCACATGGCATTGAATATGGTGATCTCAAAACCACAACAATAAAGACAACATTGTCAAAGAATCATAGAATCGTTTAGGTTGG